TGCGAGACAAGGATTTTGATTCTGCATAAGAATCCTGTTCATTATTTGCTAGCGCAAATAAGATTATAGAAGGGAATCTCAATGCTATTACTTCCATTTATTTGGCTTATATTTGCCACACTTTGTCATTTCGCCTGTATTTTCAGTGGCAAAGTAATTTTGGCAAAAAAATTCTACATATCGTTTTATGCTTCCTTTATTGATTTCCACAGTGTACACATTAAGGTCAATTACCGGAAATTTTTTCAATCTTTTCTATTTTATTACTTTTTTTGATGCTAAAGACGTCGGACTGACATCATAGGAGATAGCACATTGCCAAAATACGTCTTACAAAAGTGTTAGAGGCGAAAAAATACAAGTGGAAGCAAGGATTCAGGAATTCAAGGAAAGAGAAAAATTTGCCTGTGTTTTTAAATGTCCTAACCTTGTTTATTATGTGTGCATTTGCGGCATCGATCATTGCCAAAAATAGAAACTATCATTTCCCAGATATGAAGCAAGTTATCTCAGAAAGTTCTCGAGTATGACACAAATTGCTCGTCAACTTTATAGTAATAATTAAACTTAACGATACAGCTCCCAAAAAATGTGGAATTTGAATTTGATAAGACGTACCTTGTATTTTAAAAATTCATTACTTGCTGTGTGACCCTATGGTTATTCAAGTACTCCAAATTTGATGCCTCAGCTAGCATCTATTTTTGTAGTTAAAAACTCTATGTTGTTTGTTTAAGAAAATTCCACATGCATTTAGATAGCAGAGCAATAAAAACAAAATCTTTACAGCTTAGGGGTACAAACATTTTTAAATTGTAGCTAAAAGTAGCCTAGCGTTTCTGAAGCACTCAACATGATTATTCTTCTTTGATACCGTGGGTAAGTGGTATAAAACTTTCCACTCGGCTACAAACATGTTGCCATGGATTTACAATCTAAAGGTGAATAAGACTTCAAGAGCACTTCTACGCTCCATACGGTCCTCCTACGCTTCCACACTGAAGGTTTGCTAAATTCAATCTGCTTGAGGTCATATTTCTTTTACATCGTAAATTTACGAAATCCAAAAGTTTAGAATCCTTTGTAGAATATTTTTCTCAAATCTTGACATTTAAAATCGTCTTCGTGAAAAAACCTGTTTCTAACTTTTCTGCCCCACATCTAATTTAAAAAAGAAAAGAGAAAGATTCAGTTTGGATACATTGATTTCGCCTCATCTCTTCCAAAAAATAAGACAAATACAAATTGAGAGAACAAGGACATAAGAAGAAAGCAAATGTTTCTTCTAACTTTGTTTACTTGGAGTTACATCCCAACAGATTTTTTTGTTTATTCGCCTGAGGGCATCTGACGTAATCTCCGGGTTGACAAGACCTATAAACATTGTTTTGCTGGACGAAGTACGAAGTCGAAAACACAAAACATTAAACCTTCAGAGGGCTCTAAAGAACCTTTCGCCCGTCTCTAGGTATTCTGTCATGTTACTTAGGATTTTATGAAATAATGCTTCGAAATTGACTGTATCATCCAAAAAATTCACGAGCATCGATCTCGAGAACATTCTTTCCAAACCCTGGAAGCCCCAGTGACACAAGTACTTACATTTTCTAATTACGGCCTTGCGCATTATTTCAGAAAGAAGCCGCTTAGAGTAAGATTTCACTGAATTAAGTCTTCGGTTTTTGTTCTTTAGATGACAAAAAGCGCATAGCATTTTTTATATCTCAAAAGCACTCTAGAACCATACTTTCTCTTTACTGAAGGTGTTAATCGAATGTTTCGCCTTTGATCACCGACGAGTAGATCTATGCTTTCTAAATTATGTAATAGCTATAAATGTTTCTTTTCGGGGTCACAAAGAGCATACGCGTTTTCGTAAGGTGAAGATGAAATTTTCAATGCGTGCTTGCAGTGCCCATGCCAAATGAATATTTTTGCGTTTTTTTCTTGTGAAAATCTACATTTTTCTTCCAAAGATGTTCTTCACTAGCAATGATACTCCCCCCCCCCCCGCTTTAGTCAAGCTACGATTTGCATCTTAATCGTCCCATTATCTTGCACTGAGCTTGCGTTTTGAGATTCTCAAAGAAAAGAATCCAAAACTCATACATAGTGGCTTATCAACTTCATACCTCCTGTTATTTCTCAAATTTCACATTATTTACAACTTCCTTATTTTTTAGTTTTTTCAAGCAAGCTTGGCTTTGTTTTTTTCTTTTCAAAAAAGCTTATCCTGCCGCCTGTCTTTCGCAGGAGTGAGGCTATTCACGTGCTTTGTTGACAAATTGGTCATGATAATTTTCTACACGCTATAATTGCAGTGGAAAACTTCGGAAATCATATAATTTTAAGACTTTCTCCTAACTCTTTTCAGATAAATTGGAGATTTGAGCTTTTATAGGATCTCCGTTATATAAGATGGCATGTAACCTCACAAAACCCTCATTTGTGATCTCCCATTGGTGTTGGAGGATGCCTGCTCATGACCAGATTTATTGGTGTAATATAAATATTGCCTGAAGAGAAAATAAATTAGCCCCAAATGTCGAACGCTGAATTTCGAACATAAAATTTTTGCATCCAAGCCAACTTCTTCTTCTACTGCTTTTTCTTAGTGTTTGTAAAGGAGCTATAATTATGTATGTGGATTGTATTGTCTCATGTTGTTTGGGAAGTTTTTTCGCGCTCGCAAAAAAAGGTTAGAGTTGAATAATGAAATCCTTGTGTCATATGATAGAATTTAGTTCAAGCAATACAGAATGACGTGCTTAGAACGTTACCCCGTAGGAAAAAGAAAATCCACCTTGTATCTGTCATATCATATGCGTAGGTGCATTTGAAAAATGAAAATGTTTTCGTGGTTTGCTGCCATAGGGGTACAATGGCTTCATGCTTTCGCATGCGCACTTTGAGCATAATCGTTTTATTTGTGGAACTGCTTGCGTCACATGAATACCTGGGTGCTAACACACTGAAAATTTCCCTTTGAATATTTTTCATGTAATTGTTCGCGCTTGAACTTTTTGTGAACTTCGTGCAGTAACTAAGCTCAGATTCACTGAGTTGAATTCCTGCACATTTTGCAAACAAGGGCAGGTGTACACCACAGTGATTACTTCTTATTCACTGAGTTGCTGCGATAAGTTATAGATCATTAAGCGCTATGTATATATGCGTCTTGGCCTGCTTCACAAATTCCATGTAAGAAGGTTTCACCTTTTCTCGCTCCACGTTTTTCTAAAAAGAATACTATTGCATGCAAGACTGCCCTTGAAGTTCAATGTTTGTCCAACTTTTTCGTCGACTTTTTCATCCTTCTACACCTTATTCGGATTGTTAGGCGCTGGTGTCTATGAGGGAAAGAATTAGGCAGCTGGGTAGCTTTTATGAATTGTGTATGTACATTTGCATTTTGAGAAAAGCCTTTCAGTTGTTTGCTATCGCATTCATCTTGAAAAATACCTCGGAATGAGGAAATGTACAGCAAACACCCACCTTTACTTTTTCTATGTTCTTTCGTCTTCATAGTCGTACGTCTCTGAAGCTGTGTAAATAGATTTCGTTTTTGTCTTACGATTCAAGTTCTTTTCGGTGGACAATTTCTTCGCATCTGAGTTTAGTACAAATTTTCTTTACGTATTCTTCATGATTAGCATATTTCAGAACCTCGGCGTGAGCACCACAAGGAAACTAACCGAATTTTTGAAGTTTGTGTCGGAATATGGTTTTACTAGAGTATATTTCGTTTTTAGTTAATAATTGTTAAATGACTATGGTACAGCACTTTTGTATCCAAACAAAGGGCAAAGGGCACACTTTCATAAGTCATGAGATTTGAAGACGTTCTGGGTAATAGCTTCGAAAGATTGAGTATGATACCCAATCAAACTCTCCAACAAATAGACAGATGATTGAAAATTCTCAGAATACTGACAACTAGACTTATGAGCAAGAAATGCTCATGAATAACAAGAAATTATGATAGACTTTTGTATATTTGGTTGAAGAACTAAGAAACTTCTTCTCGTTCCTGCCCCTACATACCTAGACGTAGTAAAAAAAATTTACGAACCATCTTCGAAACTATCCATCAAGAAAGAAAGGTCTGCCAACCTTATCATTAGGAGCACTTAGAGATGATTATATTTTGAGATAAAAAAGTGTATAGCTGTTAAAAATGTTGAATAGGTATTGGGTTTTTGGACTTGATTTCTCAATAAGTTTATCCTTTTACTCACCATGTTGTTGAGATAAAAGTCGATTAACTAATTATCTGCATATAGTCGAGCTTATGGTATTCGAAGAATAATGTGAAGGTGTATTGCTGGAGAACCGCATCGTCTATAGAACCTTTAAAGTAGTCACCAAGTAAACTCAGGTCTCATATTGCTTTCATACTTCTTTTCGTTGATATTCTCCTTCCTTTCTAATCTTCTAATCCTTTTCATATTTGTTGAACTCTTATAATAGCCTAACAACACAAAAGCGAAAGCAGATTTCGACTTATCTCCACATTTTTTGCAACAGCTGATCAATACACAGCTTTTTTCTAGTGCCAAATTTAGCTCACATGATTTGATAAATGGGTTGTTAAGGAGGATTTCAGACCTAAAAAATGCTCCCCCATTGAAGTTCACTCGACTAAAATATCAATCCGAATTGCCTCTTTGCCCTGGCAGTCGCGCACGACAAATTGCACCACAAAACCTCTAACAACGGCTTTAGCTGAATCGGAAACGATTAACTTTTATAGAAATCTGGTATTGGTAAGCACAAAATGCCAAGGTCTCAGCCAGAGAGGCGCCAGGCAACTCGAGTTTGTTTTTCGTCTCCATTCACCAAATTAACTTCTATTACCACAATGTTTTTGAATACTGCCAGCATGGGCCGGCGTATAAAATTGCTTTCGTACTCTCGTTCCTGATTTCATTCGTGTTTGCTTCCGTTATTCAATCGTTGCCCACGCTGAAGACGAATTATGGTGGTATTTTCCGCTTTTAGGTTTATTAATGCTGTAATGTTGCTAGCATTATGCCAGATGGTACGAATGACCGAAAATTTCGCTGCCTTTATGGTACGACACACGCATCGGTAAGAACTCCAATAGAGGAAATGTTTGTAAATTAGCTGCGAGTGGACTGCTTCCCCCCCCCCCCCTCCTCCTCTATCAGAATTCGCATGGGCGAACTGTAATAATTTCAAAATTTGAAATAAAACCATTCATCTTTCGTCATACTTTTGCAGTGAATTTTTCAGCATTTGCATAATTGCAAATCAGAACAAAAACTAAAATTCGGCTCTAAAATCTCGAACAATTCATTCCAAATGGTTTTTCTTTCCATTAAAGCCTTGGCCAACAAAATAAACTATATCTTACTGACAATTGCTAAGCTAAACTTGCAAGTTTTCGATAACATATAGATTTTTCGTCGGTCAAGATCTTATTGAAAAACAGCTGATTATTTGAGAAGAATCGTTGAAAATTTGAGCGCACAGTCTCCAGAAATTATTTGTTGAGGTCATTTGTGAAGATGCGAATGCTGAATAATTCTATTGCAGTTGAGATCCGCGATTTTTTGAGTACTCTTGAATGGTGTGATACATCTATCTCTAACTTTTGTAACAGCTGATTCTGCATGTGGATCATTCTGTCAGTATTATTCGCAGATTTTGAAACATTTAATAAGTTTCTGAACTTCTGAGTACAAAAAATTACGAGAAAATGCTTTTTTTGGCGCTCGGTGATTCATAAAAGAAAAAAGGAATACAATAACTCTCATAAAGTAAAACAATTCATTAAGACAATTGTAGGAGTTCCACTCATAACTTTTTATCAAAACAAGGTACAGTCTTATTGAGAGAAACAGGGAAATGTTCCATAAGATTAAATGTGGCTTCGTAATGCTATGGTTGATCAAATTTGTAAGCCATAAGCCATAAGCTCTTTTGGCCGGTAAATAATAATGTAACTTGGATTATCAAAAATAGAATACGCTTAGGTTTATGAGGTCTGCCCTTTCGCTGCGTTTAGAGTAGCCTGTGCTTTAGTCATGCCAGCGCCGTGCCAGCGCGTGCCGGAACGTTGATTGATCAATAATGGGCGCGTGCACGTCACGGCGCTAGCACGACGCTGGCACAGCTCTAACACACGCATCTCTAGACGCCGCCTTTGCAATGTTACTTTTGTAGGGAACAAAATTCTTGTTTTTGCTAAATTTATTCAATTTTTGTTTTTCAGCTTGTCACAAAATTCATTGTTGCGTACATTGCGATTGAATGCATTCTACTGATGCAACTGCCACTTCCACCATATACGTTTATCATCTCTCTATTCGGGTTCGCTATCTGTACATGCACTGTGATTGCGATAATTATCAGAAGTTCACGCCTATTGATGCCTTTGTACTTTTTTGTTGTGAGTTTTTTTCATGGTTTTTGCAGAAAATCAGCAAAACAATTAATTTTTCTTCGTATAATAAGCATTTTTCAGGTCGGTTCCATATTTTTCTTGTTTTTTCTCGGTGGTTATTATTTCTATGTGAATATTTTTCATAAGGATATTGTTATAGGTAAGTTTGACTTTCCAAAAAAATATGTCGAGTTATTTGTAGCTTTCATGCGCAGTGCAAACTGTGCGCTTTATCTGACGACTTGTAAAATTAAAAATTGCTCATTTCGCCGCTTCATCCCTGTTTCCTTGTCTTTGATCTGGCTGAATATGTAACTAGTAGTACACACTCATACTACTCTTTGTTTGCTGGAAAAGAATTCACTGAGAACCTACTAGCAGGGATGTCGTCGGTTACAGCGCATTGTCTGAAAACTCACATGTAAACTTACAAATGCCCCTAGAATAGGCTTTCACCAATGCATTTTGTGCGAAGTAAGCATCAAATAATCAAATATTTTTTTCAGCAGCATTTGGTGAAAAATTCGACGAATATTCATGGATTGCTCACTTATTGGATGTGTTACTGTTGATGTTACATTATTGGCAGCTTGGTGTCATTTCAAAATGTCGACGTTTTTATCAATACATACGTGTAGAAGACAAACGTAAGCAAAATTTCTTTTAATAATTTGAAAAAATTGCAAAGAGAATTTCTTTTTAGAGCCACTGGAACTCCAATTACGAAGTGAAACTAAGGAGGAGTTTGCCTGATACAAACTATAAAATAAAGATTTGCGCCAGATCTTATTCCCAAGTATAGATACACGGTGGACAGTGGCGTATCTAGAGGCCGTTCGGGGGGGGGGGGGAGGGGGAGCACCCACCTCCCAAAATAATTTTTTTAGGGAGCTAAATTGAATTTTGAAAAATTTGAAAAATTGTTTTATTTACAAGTGTAAACAAGTCACTTGCCATTCTTATGACCGATGGAAATTTTGAGAATTTCGCGACCTATTCTCTGGCTTCCCTCCTCCCCTCAGTACGCCGCTGATGGTGGAGAAATGGTTTGCAAAAGGCAGAATTAGAGAAGATGAACAGCAAAATGAAAAGAGGGAAATGTGCACGAGATTTAGCCAGCAAAACCGACTTGACCTTTTTGAGAATAATGAGAAAGAGAACTCAATGATTTGTCTGATTGAAAAAATTATAGGCCGAAAATATTTTTTTTAGCGCTCATTACAAATTACTAGGCTTTCGCCAAGCGCGGACGATTGAGGCAATTGGTCTCGAGTACGGTACTGGGCGAGAGCTTGCAATCAAATCTCTCGGCCATGAATATTTTAGAACAGTTTATAAGCAATAGCTCACCTATGGCGTCCAAATTTCAGATACTCAAACCCGCATGGTCCTCTCTTTTCAACAGATCACGCGGGGTAAAATAGGAGAAGTTGAGGTGCCAACAAAATATCACGATTGCGAGGATTGACATGACGAACCTGCGTCAGAAGGGCCAAAGGCCCGACTACGTTTACGCAGATGCTGTATGAAGGATACAACTGAGGGCGTTCGAAGCTTATACATTCTATCAAATTCTCCAGCGTCACAGGAATTCACAAAATCGATGAGAGCGAGTAAAGCCAATAATAATATAATCTAGACAATTGTGTTAATACTAACGGTTTTCGGTTAGAAAGGAAAGTTCCCTAAAGAAGAATCCGCAACAGTTTTTGTATCGACCCGTTGAAATACTCGCGATGGAGCGAGTATTACGAGTAGCAGAAAACGCCATGCTGGACTATTCATATAATATAATGTGCTGGGAAACGCATGATCTGCTCAAGAGCGGCTTTGTCATAAGTCGTGAAGGAAGGCACGAGGACACGCTTACGAACTTTGTGCAAACAGCACTACTTCTATTTTAATGTCGCATCTTTGCATAAAATAACTAGAAAAATGGTAAGCAATGCAATAAAAAAAGTGATAAAAAGTTTGTATAACATCATCTTTCACAGAGGTTGAGCGTCAAACGGAGAGTTGGCAAAACTTGGTTCGCATTCAGATATTCCAGAGTTCATGGATTTGTTTGTAGTGCACCGACATTAGCCGAAAAGTAACCAAAATATATTTATGCGCTCAAATACCTGATTGATTGTGTTAAGGTTATATGCTTTGTTTCAAGATTAAGCCATGTATAGGCGATTCGTAGCACGCAAAGACTGCGGACTTATCGGCGTCTCTCTGATCTAACGCTCTTTCATTTCTCGTACCATCTGCTGTCTCTCTCTTGCACGAACTATCGCCGGACGCAACGGCGCCCAGTCTTTGCGTGTCACGAATCGTGTATACGTCGAGTTCATAGCAAAAAATTTGCAATTGTGAATTGACAGCTGCTTCGGCTTCCTTTCCATATTTGCAAGTCTCAGAGAGTTATCCTGCTTGAAAAAGCCGTATTCTAGGAAATCAACGACCAGTGAGCCTTCTGCCTAGAGATCCCCCCTTCCTCTTCGCCCAGCGTCCCTAATGGATTCGTCCTTCCGGGTTAAGTTAGTCAGCCAAGCCCTGGTATCTTCTGCCGTCCCATACTTAGTTCGGGTAAGGGAAAAGGAACTCGTTTGGAGCATACTTACTTCTTGAAGAAGGAGAACCACCTGGTCCTTCCAGCAAGAAAACTATGATCTCTTTCGACATGCTATGATTTTTTGTATGATTTTTTGGATGACCTTGGCATACTTTTTAGATGCTTTTGTTTGAAATTTTGGCGCACTTTTGTGTATGACATAAATAAATAAATAAATACATACATAAATAAAGCAAAGAAGGCTCAGTGGAGTTATCATTGATTTAGATTCTACTAAGGATTTAGCTCACGGCGGTCATTGTTTTATATCGATTAATAATCCCAGTAACTAACATAGTTTGCTTTTTTTCCATCTGCAGAAAGGTTTCATCTACCTAAAGTGATCGTAAATGGAAGAACTCCTGGATTGAATGGCTGTTTACAATTCATTCGTAATGGTCAGGGTGGCGGGGTAGGTTTCAAAGTTATGACTAGCAAGCATACCTTCGATACATAGAGCCACGTACTCTGGTAACCTTCACTTTGAGTGTCATGAGAGGACACAACCTTCACCTGGAGAGGAGTACAAGTCATCCGGGGCGAAGCCCCGGATATTATGACATAACTAATGACTAACTATGTAAGGATGAATGTGAATGAGGCATATAGTAGTGACATCCAAAGAAAAGCTCAAAAAACCGAAAGATTGCGTTTTCATGGCCTTTTTTGCTGAAAAGAGGGTTTTTCTTCAAAAATTCAGTTAGAAATTAGGATAAAACTTATCAGTTAACCTTTCTATAGACTGCGATTGAGCGTTGGAGGTTCATGAAAGCCGCTGGAGTTCAACAAAAACGAGAAACTGCGCTGAAATCTTGCGCAGAGAGTCGCCACATAAATGCTGGTCTATCTCGTTATGGAGTGAGATTCAAGACCCGCGACGTTGTCAGTGCTCCTGGCCGTGTCATGAGGATCACAACGATATATAATATTATAGGGTTTCGTTAAGACCCCGCGGAGATCAATGACCAGAGCCAAATGCTCCGCCGGCTCTGGTCTCTCTCCGCTGCTCGTCTGCGTCTCCGCGCGCTGCGCGCTACCTCGCTACCCCAAGCGCGGGGCGCGGGGCATTTGGCTCTGGTACCCTTTTCTTCGCTGTTTCGAACCCAATTTTAGCAAGCTATATATCATTTTGAAGCTCTTGATCTCTATTTTCACGCTGACAACGTCGCAGGACTTCTTTTTATGATTTAAACAAGAAATCCGGCAAAAACCTTGCTTTTGAAAATCTCTCGTTTTTCTCCTAGTTTGACTCTTTTCACGCAGTTTTTTTGTGTAGTCGATAGATCTTGTTTCTATCTATAATGTAGACAACGTCGCCGATCTTATTTCTTTGCTTATGCCGCTTTTTTTGTAGAAATTACTAAAAAATGCGTTTTTCTTTACCTTATTCTTTTTCAGTAGTTTCGCAACGAATTTTCTCCAGCTTGGACGATACTTGCTCAGAATGATGAGCGGAAAAATCCAGATAACGTCGCAGGGTACAAGAGGGACGGCGCGGGGGTAAAAATTTAAAGGACGCATCAAAAATCAAAACCCCGTGTTGCGAATTGTTGGTCCTGGAGCGGAAACTTGCACTCTGTAAAGCCGCCAAATGAAAGATTTCAAATCTTATTGCAGCGTTTTTATCCGGTTTACAGCCGTTTCTTTTGCTTTTTATGTCTGTTTTACGTCATATTCTCTTCTCTGATCTTCTTTGAACAACATTCACCATTTGTGACGTCAGATGTTCAAACAACCTTCACTTTTGGCGCCCTGTCTCTAGACTATCGAAGGTATGCTAGCAAGCAAGAGGAAGACAACGCACATGGATAGTAGGAGCAGTGCGAATCTCTTCGAAGCAGAGGTGAAGCACTGTGGACTTACAATAAGCCGCTTCTATCATGATTCATTCGCATTCACAAATCAATATAGTGCGTTCAGCTTATTTTGAAGACTAAAACTGATCGATACTTGTACATGTTACACACGTATTCTAGAAAAAAACCAAATTGAGGTTTGTCAAAGCGAAGCGCATGCAGTTTTGATCGCCCAACTCCAAGTCAAATGGTGCATAGCTTGTTGCTCTGAGCTATAGAAATAGGAGAATACGAGGGTGTCTGCGCGCTGCTCGAGAAAGCAATAAAGTGGAGCAGGGAAGTTTCAAAAACTGCTGCAAGTCTGCATACACTAAATTTCCACTGAAGACACAAGACTTTAGTAGATGGGAAAACTAAGCTAACAACACCAACATGCTTGACTAAAAGCCTTGAGATGTTTCATTACATATAACAGCGCAGGGCCCGGCACCGATGGTTTGGGGTCAAACTGGACTTCGTTTTTGGGGTTAGAAGCAACGGGGACATCGTTTTTATGAGGTCCTGGAGGAAACGCCAAAAAAAAACACGACGAACATGTCAGGTTTTACAAGTTGAACGTGTTCTATCGCAAGCGCGCGAATTTCAAATGCAAGACTCAAACAAACAAATGGCTTGTTTACAGCGCACAAACAATCACATGGCTCCGAATTTGGGCTATTAGTATAGAATATTACTCCAAACTATGTTATGTAAAAAGCTCCCAAAACTTATGTGTCCTAATATCCCTTCTCGAATTTGTTGGTTTCTAAACCAACTACCAAACCAACTGGGTTGGTTCGGAGCATAAATATCGGAGAGTTCACATAAGTTTTGGACCTTTTTAATTTGTACGATTAGAACGGTCAAAAATCTATCATATAGTGAAGAGAGCGGATCAAACCGTTGCCTCTCCCCTTTTTTTTGAGTCAAAATTAGTATAATTCTACGCGTTGTTAGATATCGCGCTCCAGTCACTTGCGGTGTCCTTTGAAATATGTGGCGAAAATGCATCGCAGGATTGTTGAGGCTACAGATTTGGTTGGCCTAGGAGATTCTCGACATTCCCAGCATCAAAATGGTACTATAACCAATGGCAGAGCCTTTAATCGACTCGAAATGTTTTCTTTTTGCTTTTTTGTATATTACATACCTCAAAATGCGCTTTTTTCGCTTTTTTGTTGCTATTTTGGTTGAATAAGGGTTTCCCTACTGATTTTCCTGTCGAGAGAGACTTCGTAAATTTTCGCGAAGTCATGGGGGACTTCGTTTCCTAAAAACCTCCAAACCAACGCGTGCCGGGCCCTGTAACAGCGCGACATGTTGAAGTTACCGGATTTGAATGTATACTGCATATAATCAGATAAGACCAAACTTGCAGCAGCAATTCATCGAAATCACAGCCGCACTTCAATTTGCCGCTGCATTCCTGCGGTAGGTGCAGTGAATGCGGCAGTTTAAAATGCAGACAACCGATGGGTTTTAAAATCACTCTCACTCAAAACATACTCTCAATGTTAAAAACAACATGTAAGTCAATGAAGAAATCTTTAAGCGAAAGTAATAATCCGATTCCTTTCGCGACGACTGCTTGCACACTCTTGTGGTCAAGGAAGCGGCGCGGGAGATTGGGTCATACCAGCAGCTTAAGCTTGTATAAAGGTACTTTTTGTATAAAAAGCTCTGAGCTCATATGCACTTACTTTGATCTTCCAGCAACTTTTAAACTATTGCAAAATTTAGCATGTAACAGAAGTCTGTCTGCTTGATCGTTTGGGCGTAGCAAGGATTTGTCGAGAGCAGGAGCAGCTTACTGCAAGAATGATAGGCAATGCCACTAATACAGCAGACATATGCACTGGCCTTGGATGGACCATGCTGTACCATTACTTCGTAAATCATTTCATAGATAGTAGCGTACAACTACATTGTGAACTATTCAATAGATAGCAGCGGATCAGCCGCTGACTATCAACAGCGGTAATGCGGAACAGCCTGACAGTAGCAGTAATAACCAACACCAGAACTGAGCATTTGGGACCTTATGCAACTGTTGTGGGCTTGAGTAACCTAAACGCTCACTTTTGGTGAACAACAGTATCACACAGCATGAAGATTGCCTGCATGAAAGTAAGCGCCGCGAGAGATTATCAAGCAGGTGAATGTGACCTGGCGGCTATGTTGTCAGTGAACAGTAAGGTTTATTACCTAAAAGCTAACAGTTACTGAATATAACATACGTGATGATTCTGCAGTAAAAAGGTTGTGGATTACGTAAATAATCTACTTCATTCGCCCTAGTTGTCGTTGACAAGAAAAAGAAGCAGGATTCCCATTACTTTCGACCCCACAACTTGGGCATCAAAAGCGAAAACTTCTGCAACGGCAGAAATAAACTGTTGATATTTTCATAAAATCGGTAGTAGAATGGGGCCGTAACCATAAGACATCAAGTTTCGCAGGTTTCTTAATGATCTCAATGATTAACTGGTAGGATGATGTTTTTGTCATCTAATGTGAAGTCACAAATAGGAAGTTCATATTTGCAAATTATGAAGTCAAAGTTTTCTTTGAATATTGGGTCATCCCAAAGGTTTCGTTTTTCACACTTCTCAATGAGCGAAAAAATATTTACAAACGATGTTGGCGCATTCAATACGGTTTTTATGCTCTTGAATGGTTACATTTATTGTGTCTCAACCAATAATTCTCGTAAATTGGCCACAAAACACAACCCATGGTTTTCGCCGTGGTCAAAAACTGCCTGTTTAATCTATATTGACCTTTTGAAGAAGTCTCATTAACGATGGAGAGCACAAACGTCCTGGAAAGAAAACAATTTTTCACCTTTCCATAACTCGCAATAAAAATTATCAAATTTCAGCAAGCCTATCCCAGACACCGCATCAAGAAGAACTACATCAGTAAATCTGAATAAGTAGAGTGTTTAAAAAAAATTCCAAAAGTGAACAGATTCAACCCTGATCTTACAGAGTAAAAGAGCGTTTACGAATCGAAGTATCAAGTCACGAATGTCCGAAAAGAATAATGGTTTTTATCCTGTAGGGTTATCCTTGCCCTATCCAAACGTTACCTTTTTTGAGAGCTCGTTGCATAAAATGCAATATAAATGCAAGTATCTGAAAAAGCATGAGAGACTGCATCAAATGCTTCCATTGCTTTCACGAATCTTTGGTCGGAATGTGGTACATGTTTGAAACGCAAAATTATTTTCAGAATGACCTAATAATCACAGTTAGTTGGCATCTCCAGTCTTCCCGGTTCTACTGTATTGCTAATTATATGCTGCATACCCCTCTCCTGTTTCCTTCATTCAGCTTTTCCTTCAAAATTTTGCCTTCTGTGGATCTCGCCGCCAACTTTTTCCTCTTATAATTTTGCTAGTGACTGCGAGCCCTCCTCTGATGGGATGGGCTACTGCGATATTCTCTTCGTGCTGCCGCATCCTTTTTATAGAGAAAATCGAAGGAGTTACAGTCATTGCTTACATGAAACCGTGGAAATGAATTGTTGATCTTGGATAAGGACTTTTGTTTTAAGGTGCCAAAAATGGACTTAAGGACTAAGGGAATAGCTTAAGAAAGCAACCCACTTCGTGAAGGTCAAAAACATATGTGTGCGAAGTTTCAGCTGACTTGATCGTACAGCGGAGTGTATGACAAACATATACTACTCATACATGTAGAGTATGGTGTGGCTTTCTAAAAATGATTCTCCTCCTTCAGAAAAGTGTTTTGATCGAATGTTGATGCACTTTTGAGCAGTGAATACATCATACATGCTACGAAAATATAATCCGTTTGGTTTGTAGACGAGCAACGAAAATAGAAGTTATATGCAAATTGATAAAAAGAAAGCAATTTTTGACAAATGGAAGACGAGAAATGCTAACAAAGAAAGTTTGCTTAAAAGAAAAAACAGCACTTCACATCACATTTTATTACATTCCTGGCAAACCAGCATTTTTTTGACTTTCTCAGGCTTGCAAACGTATTCAACGCTTGAACATTCACACTATAGCTTTAATAAAAGATGAGTAAACACTGCCAGGGAGAACCTTATCTTACCTTGATAAGCTCAGGCAATTTCGTGTGTGGCAACTCTCAAAGATACATGCAAACTGCCATTGCTCACTTGAGTGTTTCTTTGTTATCTACTTTCTTTTAGGGTAGTTCTTCTGCCATTCCGCTTTTTTATGGAGACTTGCGGAGTGCTCAATAGTGCTACTAGCAAATTGAACAACACAGTCACAAATTTCGAGACAAACATTTTTATATTGTTATGATTGGACAGCACAATGAGAAACTTATGAGGCGACCATTTCGCTTATATCTAGGCCTTGACTTTGTATTTTGATGTAACATTTTATGAGTTAGAATTGTTTCAAATTGGACGGTATTTATCGATTGTTCGTATAGTTTTCTTTGCATCGCTGTTAACATTTAAATGAATAGGAATGACTAATAGATTATTCTATCTTTCCCTCTGCTATTCCTTCTCCCGTTCGAAAAGATGTCTGCCCTTTAAGAGCAGTCGCCATTCAGTTTTATCCAAAGTTCCCTTTTTTAATTTTCGATTGTGAATCCGCCCATAAGCTGGCCTATAGATATAAACATATTGTTGGGCTACGCATGCTGAGATCTTTTTGCAAAGAAGCCTATTGGTTTTGGAGAAGGAAACCTTATTTTTCGAATGCGCTGCTTGCTGACTGAATGTGCTTAGTTTTTTTTGGAAGGAAAATCCTTCCTCTATTGCTTTGTCCACTTCTTCATAGATTTCGTTTACGATTTCAAAAAGGAATGTATGTTTGATAGCTTATCTGTTAACCGTTTCAGTCATTTCTGGGAGGAGAGCTATGTTCCACCTAAAGAAGCTTTAGATCCCCAGCTTTACAAATTTCTACCCCTCTTCATTTTTCGCCTGACGTTGCTTATCAATCAAACAGAATTAGAAGTCACTTATATGTACGTAACAAGATATTGATAAGCCACTGGACCAGCGTTTCGAAACTAGAGAGAACAATTAGACTAAGCATGCATCTTAAAGAACATAAGCTAGTTTGTGCCAGACGGCTACACAGGTTTCGTAAAAGTGCGCAGATTTGTTGGATCGTGTACCAAAGATTTTTCTTGTTGCAAAAATCGAATGTTTCTCAATCGTTTACGTTGTCAGAAGGCTGAACTATGTGGCAGATTTCATTCCATTCTGTAGCGCACTCTGTGATCTAAATTGTTGTTCTTCTTAAGGTGCTTCTGTGTGTAGCCGTAGCAAAAAGCTGTGAGGCAGATCTTCTTCGACTTCTTATTTTTACAAAGATGGGCCGAATCCAAGGAGTATTTCTGATAACGGGCGCAAATCGTGGGATCGGATTGGAAATGACTCGATCCTTGTTAACTATGTCTGATGTATGTAGAGTGTACGCTGGCTGCCGTGATAGGGAGAAAGCTGAGGTAAGCTGATCTCAAATCAATTCTCCTTTTTTAATAATTCTTTGTCAGAAACTCCGCAACTTGCAAGATCCTAAAAAGAAGCTTCGTGTTGTGGAACTGGATGTTTCCAAAGGTTTGTCTGTGCCTTATGCTACCCCACCCTAATGCGGTTTTCTTTTTTTGAGGACAATTTCTCAAGTTTATTGTAAGTGCTTGACATGAAAATTCTTAGACTGGAGCATAAAAAACGCGTTAGAGGCTGTTGCTAAAGAAAGTGGACACATCAATGTGCTAATAAACAATGCAGCTATACTTGAGAAGGTAAAAGATCAATTATTTCTATTCTTTCATGTCCACCTCTGATTTTCATGTCAGGAAGTCTGGTTTAACTGAAAACACAGCGGGAAAAATTGGAGTATTAAGATGTTTGCAAAAATTATAGCAAGAAACCATAACCTTATAGGATCACAAAGGAGGAATCCCAGATGGCGACCGAGGAGCCTGGCTACGACATTTTGACATCAACATTGTGTCTTATGCGATGATGATTCAAGTATGGAAAACAAACATTCATTTGTCAACGAAGGGTTTTGTTTTAGGAGTGTCTTCCATTACTGCGGGTTTCAATGTCACAACAAAAACCCGCAACTATAATTAATATATCTGGTAGAAAAGGATCTATCGAACTATGCACGGGCACAGAGGAGGTCCACGGTAATTATGCATACATGTGCAGCAAGGTAGAATGAATAAGCTATTCTGCGCTTGTTTTATTTTGCTTTTGCTTAGGCCGCAGTAAATCAACTCACCCGTGTACTTTCTCTGGAATATCCATCTATGCTTGTTGTGTCGATGTGTCCTGGATGGAATCGAACAGATATGGGTGGACCAAAAGTGAGCTTTCCATTTACTTTTACTGTTAACCAAGCGATTTCTTTCATTATATAGAGAGCACCCTACTGACCGAACTTACAGGGTATGAAAGATCCGTCCGAAACGGCTCCAGAGCTTCTGAATACAGTAAACGCTATGGTTACCTCTGAACATTCCGGAAAATTTTGGGACCGAAAAGGGAGACCCATCCCCTACTAAGAGGCTTTCTTCTGTATACATAAAACCAACTATGCTCATAATACTGTAACAGTGAGTGTTTTGTATATGTTGTACCTAGTGTACTCTTCATTAAACATAGTTACTGAGCAGCCTTACCTCTTTTGTGAACTTGACATCAGTGACTAAGTGGGTCACGCATAAATGTGTAGTGACTCATCTCGCAGATTATATGAACGTAGTTTGTTAATGAATGTACTCAGAGGTTTGTTTCAACTTGCGATGTACCAAACTTGCCAAAACTCAAAATCTTATAAAACTTTTCACCTCTAAATTCTGTGATAGTATGCGGAAACTTACCATAAACTCGATCTTTACATAAAAATTCCTACAAGAAGCCAATAACGGATGACACTCAACGGTACTACATTGTTAGAACAAATTCCTTGGGAAAGGGAAGCATATTTGAGAGCCTATTAAGCTTGTGTGTTCCCTTTCTACCGCGTACTCCTTACCTCTGTTTCCGACAAAGGAGGCACCAGTGTGTCATTTCTGTTTGCAGTCTCGCGTCATACTATCTAATGTGTTCCTTCTGCGCGCACCAGAAGATTACTTGATTATACGACCTCATTATAATTACTCAGAAACTTCCCGGAAGAGAGAAGGAAAAAAGGCTGTCCCTGACAAACGCTTTCTATTGTGAACACCAAACTGATCACAAATCCATGCCACTGATTAGGTGTTGCATAGTTGTTGCGCGGGAAGATAAGGACTCCTCGAAGAGTATAGCATTCCTTCGATTGATATGCATCAAACATGTGCAAATTTTTGTCGCCGATCCAGCGATCGCCAGCCGCTGATATCGGCAACTGTACATTGAATAGCTATCGATATGTCTAGGTTTCTTTTCAAGTTCATACATGCCTAAACGATACGTACCAAAAGTATACTCGCCGAAATAGCGATGGTCCTTTTTTTGGTAAGTTATTCTCGTTAATTATAAAAGGAGTAAATCACAAGATTTTCCACTCGAAAACCGCTACTGCAGGCAGTGGTGAGTACATTGAAGTTTACACGCAAGTTGCTGCGGGTTCTATTTTTGATAATCCATGTTAGGCTTTGAAATCAATGCGGAACTTTGATTTTACTTCCCCATTTCATCATTGCTTAGATGTGGAGAAACTCAAAAGAGTTTTTTTTGCAAGTACAAAGAGGAAACATCTCTTTGCCTTGCAAATAATTTTATTTCACGTTTCTGCTTAGAACAGTGATACGCATGACAACTGTTTCCAAAATATCTCTTGCTATCACGCAACAATAGTTTCATAATTTTGATTTTGAATCTGAAAAAGAGGAAACCTTTACGAGCAATTGAGAGTGAAACAGCAGTCATTACGATCCAGACTACAAAATAAAAAACAAGCAACAAAATAGAAAAACATCTTCGCAGAACGGCAATATAAGTCCGCATATTAGGTCGTTCCGGAGGTGCTCTCTTTTTCTTTCAGCAAGTGCCACATCCAACAAAGCGAGGATTCTCGGCTACAATGTGATTGACAGCATATCACTTTCCTTCAAATGCCAATGTTTCATTGTAATTCAATAAATCAACGCGCTGTCATAAGATCACCAAACTCCGCAATTAATGGTCAATGGTCAATCCGAATCCAAAGTTTCAAATACCCACGCGATAGCGTCTATGCCACAGCCTATTACAACTTTTCAGATAGCGATAGATAGCGTAAACAAAGTGCAACTATGTGATTTTTTGACATTTTCAAAAAGCTTTTCGCTATTTTCAAAATAACTTCTCCAAAAGTCACTATTTTGGCGATGTAAATTACGCAAAGCTCCAACCAATAAAAAATCTTCAAAATTTGAATCTTTCAAAACACGGTTATGACGACGATGCAACAGTCTCACAATACAGTTAAACGTTTACCGCTTCAAAATATCAATCTTCGGGTGCGTGGCTGCAAGTCATTAGTCGCATGCCCGTGTCCCGCGTTTGAGAATGGCTACTACGTCAAGCTGCAGCCGATATGGCCCGTTCGTGCAGGTGGAAAGGCTGGACGAAAGATAGATGGTAAGAGCTGCTTATAACTGACTCAGGATATGGAGGCTTGGGAACCTTAGATACCCACATCACCCGTGACTACATACCAAGCATCTGGTTTGAGACAAAACAAGTTGAGCGTAAGGGAACTTGGTACCGACTTTGAGTGTGCTTTTGCCAGATACGTTAAGAACGGATTAACACTACTATTTCTTCGCTTTTGATCAGCTTCTTCCGTTCCCTTCATGGTTGAACCTCACCAGTACGAAAACTATCTGGGTTATGAAGCACTTCCTTTTCGCTTCGAATAGAAAAGACAACCGATATGGCGACTGTTTTATACAGACGCAGGCCCGCCAGCAACGAAAAAAGCTTGGAAAAAGTCTGCAACTCGGAGCCCTTTTATTCGCATCCGCGTCTTGATGTTCCTTAGGCCAGACCCATTTTATTTCACAAAAGTTTTACTTCGAAGGCTAAGGCTATCGGTTCCTTTGTGTAAAAATAACTTGTTTGAAAAGCAGTTGGATCACCTACCTACCTCTCGTGATATGCATTGAGTCAGTAATCACGGAACGTCATCTCTTGCATTGCCTTTCGATTTGTTCGGCAGTAATGCGGGACTTGTGCATACTTTCAAACTCATTGGCGGATAGCCTAAGGGACACTGATGACAACTGTGTAAACAAGATTTTTGTGTTATAATTATGAAGGCAGTTGTGACAATGCGGTCTTCCAATGCAAACACGCGTATTGTGCCCTGCGGCACACGATAAATTGACTTTTTCAGATTCTGAATATATTATCGGATGGAGTAATCAGTGCTGAGCCCAAATATAACAACAAGAATCAAAAAGAATAGTTTGTGGGAAATTGTCCGAATATGGCGTCTCCGAAATCAGTATCCCGTTTGGCACAGAAAAATGGTAAATTTTTCAATTTTTAAGTATACTGTAGCGGCTCGGTGGGCCCTAAGAACCTAGATGTACCCGAGTCCTGTGCGCTCACCTGCTTATTACATACGACGCAACCTAGCCTACCACTTTAGCCTAGCGCGTAAAGCACAACGTTAAATTACTAATAGTGTATCTTGATTACACAAAAAAAACAAAGCATAGTCAAAATACTAAACTAAAACTTATGCAGGAAAAACCTTAACACGGGACAGAGTGCCTCATCTCGTGCTACCGATGGGGGACTTTTCATAACATCTAAACATAAAATAATGCTCTTGAAGCTTCACCTATACAGATCCGCCACGCGTCGCCGGATACCAGGCGCGACACCCTTCCGCTCCCAAAGTTTACAAGATCTTAATATTCTAAATCCCAAGAGCTCCAAAAGTGGCTTGTCCAAAACAATTCATCTATCTTGAATTCCAACTAGTATGAATTCTGAACCGCTGGACTGCTAAGCGAAAGAGATATTAAAGGTGGGAGCTAAATTGTCAGGCACGAGCATAATAGAAAACAAGAGAAAAGAATATCGATCGAAAAGTCAGGCGAACAGACGCTGCAATGAGGCGCCGTAGCTCTGTATATAGCCTTTTAACTAGCAACGCGCCAAGGCAAGGAGAGGTCCGGACGCGATTGCGGCAAGCGGGAGAAAGTAACGTAATCATCGCCGAATAGCGCGGCAGGGGTAGGGGAACGAAAGCCGCCAGTTTGGGCCACCTCCGCGGACTGCTGGTCTTGGAACGACATGCAACAACGCTGCAAAAGGACCAAATGGCCGCGAAAGACGTCTCAAACTGGCGGCTTTCGTTCATCTACCCGCGCGGCAGCACCACTGCTGCTGGCCTCCTACTTCTAGGAGCGCTAGCATCGCGGAGCCGCGACACTCCCCCAGAAGCAATGGACTTGGGCGTTTGAGAGGTGGTTAGGTGATAGCACTAGGGAATCTGCGGTTAATTTCTTTAGCCGAAATTTTGGATGATAGAATGGAAAAGAAATAAAGAAAGTGTATTGGTAGCACAGTAAGAGCGCGACGAAAGTGAGTTGAAAATGACCCGTCCCGTGTCGTGAACTACCATTAGATAAGTTAGTCAATGAGTTAACGAATATACGGGGTGTTCCAAAAAATGTGAACACTGTTTGATTGTTAATAACTCCCTTGCTTTCCTTCCGCCGAGCACGAGGCACCATTCTATAAACCGAGATTCAACTTAGATCTACAGTATAGAGCGAATCGTCGATCACTCTCCACTACTGTAGGATTACGGTAGGAACTTCGACAAGGATTTAGGCCGTTGGAGGTCATATTCTTCTTCGGAACAAAACCAAACAAGCCGAAAACTCTTATATCATGGTAATAGAAGCCGCTGAGTTTGATATGAAATTTCCACTTTACTGTGATGCTTCTTTCCAAGGTTATCCCAGCTAAACCGTGCGAAAACCTTAGTACACGATTTTTTAGACTCTTTGAAAAAAATTTTGTTACGTGGCACATCTCACATTAGATATCCACTTACTAAAAGTTCATACCATAATCCTACAGTAACGAACAGCGATCGGTGATTCACTCCATATTACAAATCTAAGTTGAACCTCGTTCTATAAAACGTTCCTCAAGCTCGGCGAAAGACTTGAAAGCAACGGAGTTATCAACGATCAAACAGTGTTTATTTTTGGGACACCCTGTATGCGTTCGCAAACTCGAAGCAATTAATTTGATCACGCAGTTAGTAAATGGTCTAAGAAGACAGTATAACGACAAAGTAAAACCAAAATTATACACTTTGTGTAATGAAGAACAACCAAAAAGCGATGATTATGATAAAGAGGCTCTTAAAAAGGCACAGCAGCATTTTGTTATTGTACCCATAGACAAAGCAAACTCTAACTTTGCTTTCATTTGAAAGAAATTGCACCTGAGAATTAAAAAAGGAAATGGAAAGTCTAGCAGAGAGAGAAGTACTTGCATCACTTCAAGAAAAGGAAATTCGTACAAAACAAAAAAGGGTCCTCAGTGAAATGAATATCAGATTTAATTCCGAGTTCAATGTCATCCCTAAAATGCGCAGGAGTCCCATAAAATTCAGATTCATGACAAAGGCTAGAAAAAGTATACCTAAGCCACTTACCAATACAATACTATTAATACTAAACGCATCTCAAAAACACTTCACAAATACTGCAACGTTATTTGGAAGAGAACAAAAGTCAAAAACCTATGCTCTACGAAAACAGCAACCATGCTGTAAGAATATGTGCAGCAAAGGGTAACTTAAACTTATATTCAGCGGATTTCTCTGCCTTATTCACAAGCTTACCTCAACAAGTGGTTAGATCCAATCTAA